ATAAGGTGAGCTGGCTGCCCAAGCTGCCCCGTCCGTACTCTGACACGCCGCGCACATGTCAGAGGTGGCGCGGGACGTTGGGAGTTGTCAGAGGTGGTTGTCGCTATCAACCACTACATTCTCGACACGTGTCCTTCTGCACATGGAGCGAATATTCTCTTGAAATTCGGTTAGAGGCTCTCACACGCGCCTGTGACTAGGCTGATCCATATAGTGTTAAGTCCGCGAGGTGATCGACCTGTTGAGATCGATTAAGTTGCTCGATAACTTATCTGGTCGAGTGATGGGTTGCTCGATCACCTATCTGGTCGACTAGTTAACTGATCGATCTTCCTGCCACTTGGCTCGGTTCCTTTACTGTACGACCTCTTTGACCGGTTCAGCAGACCGGTTTAGCCTGGTAGGTATAATATCCTATATCACAATCACAATAGAAAAATCATGGTAAGTTGTATTGAAAAGGTGTTATGAGATAAAACAATTAATTAAAATAATTAATTAAATACTTGATGGAAATAGAATGCATTAATTACCTTTGACTTTTCTTACTACTAATTGAGTAAATAGAATGCCTTTTTATATAAATATAGATATGAAATTATAAATCAGTATTACTAATATATCTCTATTATATAAATAAATTGAAAAAATGGAAAACAATGTTAATTGAAAATACATTATTAAAATTTCTAAAACTTAAATGCACCTAAAAAATATCCAATCGATATACTACATAAATAATAAACCATTTTGACTATATAAGGTTATTCAGTTAATTTATCAAATAGATCGATTATTTCAGTTTGGTTTTAGATTGGTTTGAGAAATCATAAAAAAATGTATGAGTTGTAATTACACGATAGTTTTAGACGAATTGCACGTTAAAGACTACCAGATTACACATTAAGGACCGAAACCAACTTGACTAAACAGTTCGGTTCAATTTTATTTTGGTTGGGGGCAGAACATAAAATATGCATGCAATGCGATTGCACATTAGTGTTCGATGATTTGCACTTTATGACAGCTAAGTTGCACAATAACAGTCGAAACCAACCAAACTAAGATTTTAAGTTCGAATTTTACTAATTTACTAATGTTTATATCGTAACTGATACCGGTGCTCGCGAGTCGCGACTTTGGCTGCACTGCATGACTTCACGTTTCGGGCTCGTTGGGGCTCGTCTGAACTCGGAATTGAGTTTCATTTTTTGCTACGCGTCGCCAACGGATCTCTTTATTTAATTATACTCTCAAAACCAATTTGTCCTGAAAATAATATCCGCCCAAAGCTCCCGACCTGCACACCATAAATGACAAAACACGAAGAAAACTGGAAAAACAAACGAATAAACACATAAAGACTAAAAATAAAGGAAAACATGCAATAAAACACAAAACAGACTAGAATTGACCTAAAACAGGAGAAAGGAAAAGTAAAAAAAGCACGTAAAATGCAACAAAAATTGAACACACAAATGTGAATAAGACAATGGGTCAGAGGATATCACAAAGAGCGCCATGGCAACAACGATGGCGTGGCAAAGTCTAACACCGGCGACGTTGGCCCGAAGGGGTGAAATCAGAGGTGCAGAGAGATAAATGGATGCGATTTCTTCTCCGAGAAACGGTCGAAGAGAATGAAACGGAGGTAGATAGCATGAAAGAGACGTCGCTGACAGTATAAGATGATGGGCAGCGATGGGCGGCGGGCATGATAGGCACTGTGCGTGAAACCGGCGTGAACTTTTCGTATTTAGTGTGTGTGAGTATGAGAGAGAAATAACTGACATGGTAGTCGGGTTGGGTAGGGCCAACCATATGGGTGGATGATTTTTAGGTTTGTGCAATGACCAATCCACCCTTACTGAGTGGTTCACAATGTATAAATTTGACCACAATATGTACACATATTTACGAGAATAACACAACATATTTGACTGCTATTTACTAAAGTTCGACTCGATCATGACCATTGACTTGGTGAATCCAATGGTTCATAATCATCCTTATTTCTTTATTATTCTCTTTCTCGTATGATCCCTTCTCTCTCTATATATATATATATACTTTATGCTTATGCTTGGAATTACATGTGAAGAAATAGATTAAAATTTTCTTTGTGCATGAAGAGACAAAATGAAAATTAGTATCTTAATAAAATCATATATGAATTTGTTAAATTTTATTCTGGTCTAATTTTAGTTTTTTGTAGCGGATCGAGTTAAGGTGGTCTTTTTCTGATTTTATTAATCTGATTTAAGTTTTGAGTCTTGTTACAACAATTAAGTTATAAACTAAACTAGTACGATACCCATGTACTATACGGGTGCATGTAAAAATAATTTGAATAATAAATTTAAATTAGTTAGTTATTGTGAGTATATGCAAAATAAATGAATGAAAGTTTCATAAAACAAAAACTACTATACATTGGTATTTTATTTCAAAATCTCAACAATTTATTTAGTTGTACTTAAAGTTTATCATCCTGGTAAAAAAAAAAAAATGATGAATGCGCTAATATTTATCAACTTGGGAAAATAATATAAAAAAATGATAATTGAGGTGAAGGATGTGTTTTGTTAAGTTATATTCCATATAATTATAATATATAATTTTAATTCATCAATAGTCATTGCGCAAACAAAGACACTTACTATAAATGGGCTAAAATTTATCAATTTGAAAAAATAAAAAATACAATGAATGAGATAAATTTTTAGGGGTGATTGGATATGAATTCAATTAGTGAAAAAAATTGATTTCTTTTTAAAATATAGTTAAGTTTGAAAAAAGCTGACATAAATAGTTGTTAGTGGATATCTTAAAATAATATTTAAAATAAAATAATTAAAGTTGAATTGATGTAAAAGTATGAGAAAATAATTGGAAGTCATGATTAGTTAAAATTAAGTGAGTGGATAAATAGTGAATTAAAGTTGATATGATGTGTAAAAATGATTGAGTGATATTATTAAATTATATTGATAATAATAGAAATAGTGAATTTGAGTTAAATTTGAGTTTTGATTGATTTTTTATTGTACAATCTATAAACAATCGCCCACTTAGTAAAATAAAATAAGGAAATAAAGATTTTGTGTGATTACAAATCTGGTAATGAAAGAGAGATTGATGAGAGACAATAATGTGTGGTGAAAAATTACACTTTATCCAAGCCAATTTTATTTTCAAGTTTTTTATCCGAACCTAAATACAAAACACAATATTGCTACATGAAGGATTTCAAATCGTGCGAGTCTGTCACTTAGGCTCAACACGTTTTGAATTAATACATTGTGATGTGATGGATTATAATGGAACAAATTAACCGCAATCTAGAAATTCTATGAGCCATCAGATGACTCCTTTATGGAACCATCCACAACTTTATGTACTGATACATATTCAATGTACATTTATTACAAGACACGTGTCAATATATTATTTGTAAATAAATATGAATGACTCTATAATTCGAACCATCCGATGACTCTACAGTAAAATCGTAATCCCCTTAACCGGGATACATGTATGTACGGGGGACAAAGATGGAAGAAAATTATTACAGACTGTAAAAAGCAAGAAAAGGAAAAGACAGAGGACAATAATTACACAGCTTTTTCGTATTACAGCAGTAAAATTTTTCTCTTCTCTCCTTGGGAAAACGGGACTCAAAAGGTAATCACACTTTTCACCGACCATCACTCACACAAAAAAGGGAAAAAAATCTTGGCACAGAAGAAAAACTAATAAAATAAAAAGAAGAAAAGGTATTCCTAGTTGATACCAGTGCGTGTTGTGTGTGTGTGTGTATGCGCATTGAAGGTCAATCGACCCTTTTTTTTTTTGTTTTTTTTGGTCGTATGCATATGTGGGCTTCGAAGACTCCACATAGCATTGCGGGTATTATCTTCACTTTGGCCCCTTTTTATTTATTTTCTCTCTCCTCTGTCTTAAATCGTTCTGATAAATCTCTCTACCTGTCTTTATTTTTTTTTTTTTTTTTTT